GCAGAAAAGAACATTCAAAAGAAGAGTTTAGACTGAGGGGTATAAAGGAAGGAGCACGGGTTTGTCATCTGTGTGGAAATATTCCCTGTATTCCTTATTTGTTTGAGTATTTGTGTTTGATCCTTCCTCATCTCTACTGTTAACAGGTTAATGGCAGACAACCCTCTCTGATAAGATGACCTGGTTTACATGTAACAACAAACCACAGGTTTAAAAAGCTGATGGGTTGTCATGCATGAGTGGGGACTATCTGGCATGCTGCCTGAAGCACATCTGCCTCCTTTACTGCACAACCCAATTGCTTCCTTAGTGGGTTGTGGAGTGTGGTAAGGGAATCCAAACTGAGCTGTTAGGGAGCTAAATGATCTCGTGGTTAACTCATGGTTTGTTGTTGATTCAATTATGGGTTGAACAAGAGGAAGAGGAAGACATGCCTGCTCAAGCCCAACAACTCATCGGTGTTTAAATCAGTTTGTTGTTTCACATGAACAGGCTATGTGAGACAAATTGTACCAACTGATGCATTAACAGGAGAAATGGATATTTGTGACTCAAGATAGTAGTCACAAAACTATTAGAGAAATAAACTGGGTTACTAAAATCAGGTTTGGGGGAGGAGTTTTTTGGCCAAAGGATTGGTAAGCAGACAATGAAATCTCAGTGTTTATTTTTTTAAGATACAATAAACTAAGATCTATGTAGCTAGAAATATATATTTTTCTTTCAGATACACTGGGTGGATTGCTAAGAATAACATGGCAAAACAAGGGGAACACTTCTTGCTAAGAAAAAACAAGCCAGGCTTCTAATATGTCTTCCTTCACTATCATAGAAAGGTCAGATCCTTAGTCATCTAGACAAGTACTACCTATTGTGAATGGCAGGAATACTCAAGAGTCTTAGGGGTTTTTTTCTATCAACTGCTCTCCTAACCTTTTAACTAGAGAAGCCAGGGAGTCAAGCTAGGATTTCCATGAAAAATACATGCTCTACCACTAAGCTACTCTTCTTCTAATTGTTATTTGTAATATACTTTGTAATATTTGTCAAAGCAGAAGCAAGGATTCCAAAAGCATCTTTTTCAGCTAGGAGGACTAACAACAAAATGTCAGATGAATCCAGTCTGAAGAAGCAAAAGAACATTTATGTCCAGTGAAAACAAAGTATCTACATCAAACAGCACAGGTGGACCTTAATGACCACATCTCTCAACACAAAGACATCAAAAGGTTGGGCATAGAATCACATTGTATGGGCATCACAGCACTGAGCAACATTTCAGAACAATGATTCAATGTTTATAAAGTTCAACCCTAGACAATTTGCACTTTTAGATACTGTCAAAACACATTTCCCTCATGCAACAGCTGCTCTTAGAATACCCACATTTATGAATATCACTTACTGTAAAACCACAGATCTTCTGCATTAAAACCTCACGAACTGGCCCTCGGTGACCATGGACAAACTTAGGAGCAGGAAAAAGGAAATCTCTTGTATTTTCTTCATATGCAGCTAGAATTTCTCCCACTGAAAGAAACAGTAACTCACGTTTTCAATAACAGAAAGTTTTCATTTAGCAAAAGTTTTCATTTTCATTTATATTTGCAGACTAGCCAATATAGCAGAAGAATACATGCAGGGCATGATCCAGCCAAGTTAAGCATTTCTGAATCCTGCTGATATCAATGGAAGAATTAAATGTACACATGAATAATTAAAATCTATATTTTAACTAAAATCTTGTTAAAAGCTGTATCACTAGTTAAGGAATTTTACTAGTTGTGTCCCTGCCTACTGGGATCACACAGCAACCACTAGAAAAGTATGCTCTGTCATACTAAACCTTTTCCTCCAGGAATCTCAGCTGAGCCTAATAGTAACTCCTGTGGTTAAGGAAGGGGATAGGATTTAGTCAGAATTTTATTTTGTTCAATATCTACAAATGGTTTCTATGACTTTTCAAGTCAGAAAACAAAGAGTCAGCTAGAAAAATCATGAATGTTTTACAAAGTTGTTATACCTTCAAAATATATGTATGCATATGTAGATTGACATGGGCATATATGTTATAAGGTTAATGGATGTTTTAAAAGCAGAGTAATGCTATTGAGAATGAACAAGAACTATAAAATGATCTTGTAAATAATCTTTATAGAACTTTGCATAGAACAGAGGCAGCAAATGCCATGCTTTTGTTATCAATTCAGAATGCTACCTGCTCAAAAATTATGGTGATAGATTTCAACACAATAGCAATTAAGAGGGCTTGTGTGGGGTTTTTTTTGGGGGGCAGGGGGTTCGCCATGTCATCAAATACATATGCGTATCTTCCAGAGTCAAGAGAATTAGGAGCAAGGAACAATTATATTGTGAATAACTTTGGCAACGTCTGTGCCTGAGAAACAGTATTTCTTGTAAGTAGATGTTGAGTAATGAGATTAAGTCCCAGTTCACAGACAGTATCCAACACTGCTGCTGCACTCCTGCCCACACTATTACATAAAACAACGGAAAGCTAGTGTTTCCACCACAGGCCATCAAAGCAGGCAGAAATGTTTGTTTTTATATCAGGACAGATCAGACAACCTTCTTTTTTCAAGTCCTTCTAACCAATCACCACCCTGGAGATACACATTTCTGCCCATTTTGGGTTGCTTTTAGAATTGCTAGCTCCATGTTGTGCTGATGATAGGTCTGGTGGGCATGTCAGCAGGTTTGGATTCTGCCATATGATTGTTACTGTTGTTAGTTGCGAAGTCGTGTCCGACCCATCACGACCCCTTGGACAACACTCCTCCAGGCCTTCCTGTCCTCCACCTTCTCCCGGAGTCCACCTAATCTCACACCAACTGCCTCAGTGACTCCATCTAGCCACCTCATCCTCTGCCATCCCCTTCTTCTTTTGCCATCTATTGGTCCCAGCATTAGACTCTTCTCCAGGGAGTCCTTCCTTCTCATTAGGTGGCCTCTAAATACTCATTAGGTATTTGAGTTTCATCTTCAGTATCTGGCCTTCTAAAGAGCAGTCAGGGTTGATCTCCTCTAGGACTGATCAGTTTGATTGCCTTGCAGTCCAAGGGACTCACAGGAGCCTCCTCCAGCACCACAATTCAAAGGCCTCAATCCTTTGGCGCTCAGCCTTCCTTATGGTCCAGCTTTCACAGCCATACCTTGCAACTGGGAAAACCATAGCCTTGACTATATGCACTTTTGTTGGCAGAGTGATGTCTCTGCTTTTTAGAATGCTGTCTAGATTTGCCATAGCTTTCCTCCCCAGGAGCAAGCGTCTTTTAGTTTCTTGGCTGCAGTCCCCGTCTGTGGTGATCTTGGAGCCCAGGAAAATAAAATCTGCTAATACCTCCATTTCTTTCCCATCTATTTGCCAGGAAGTGAGAGGACCAGATGCCATGATCTTAGGACAGTACCAAAAGGCCATATGATTAGGTAATTATAAAAATAGACACAAGCTGCATAATGGACAGGTCTGCTATCTACGTAAAATTTGCATTCCTATCTGTTTAACCCATTGTTTTTCTACAAAATAGGCTTCTGGGAGTTAAAAATGCCATTTAAAACTTTCACAATATGTCTTAGAAACCGTCATTCAATAACACAGGCAAATAAAAACAATGCATCACAGCGGCACAATGGTTTAGATTCACAGGAGTGGCCTTCCAAGATTTTTTCACTCTACAGCTCCTATCAGTTCTACCCTGAATAGTAAATAAATTGGATGATGATAGCTGTAGGCAAAAACATCTGGAGGGCCACAAATTTCTCATCCCTGATCTAGAGTTTTGCAGAGCATAACTCTGATAACAGCATGTCCTTGTCGACAGAAATGCAGCAAGCAATATTGTCAATTTCTTTTTCTCCTGGCTATGCCTCCCCATAAAATATGCTGCAAAGGTTGATTATCTCCCCAAGAAAACATGGTAAGGTCTGGGGGATGAAGAGAATAGAGGAAGTCTGTAAAGATCCTTCCCACCACCCTGTTTCTGCAGCAAGATCCTCTGCTAGAGCTAAATCACAGTCACTAAAGGAAGAAACAACAGGTCTTGATCCAATTCAATATGAACAAATTATCCCAAAAAAGCTCAGCCTTCTAAACAGGTAAAGAGAAAGACCTGCTTAAAACACTTGCAGAGTTTGTACCATACGAATATTATACAGAAATATACTCCTCAGGGATAGTGTCAAAATGCCCTGCTCCCTGGTGACATCTGCCAAAACTAAGATGGTTAAAGCCTTTCATCAGATTTTTTAAAAAAATATATGAAGATTCAAACAAGGGAAAGCATCTTCAATGATACTGTGAACCTATCTGTTAATGTCAGACATTAAAAAACCGCCGTCACTGAATTTCACAACATTGTACCCTTTTCCTTGTTTTCCTATGTAATAAAGTTGAACCAATTAACTCATTAGTAGAACCCTGCTGAGTCCTAGGTACAATTCTGCCTCCAGCCCATCAGCATTTCTGCTAAGACACTATATCCGTGATGGCAAACCTTTTAGAGACTGAGTGCCCAAACTGCGACCCAAAACCCACTTATTTATCACAAAGTGCCAATGCTACAATAAAACCTGAAAACTGAGGTTTTAGTTTAAGAAAAAACAATTCACAGCCAGTCCAAGCAAATATATATATACACCCTTGGCAGCGCACTGACCGGCCATGAGTCGCAGCTAATGAGTCATGGCTCGTGACATCATCACCTGGCGCCACTACTCCTTTCCGAGCGTGCGCATGGCCCCTATGTGCGCCGTTATCCGATGCTTGGCTGCTGGGACGATGCTGGGGTGACTTGGCTTGTGCGCCGACAGAGAGGGCTCTGCATGCCAGCTGTCGCATGCATGCCATAGATTCCCCATCACTGCCCTATACTCATTTATACAAGAGTGCATGTACTCCCTCCCTGAAATTATTGCAGGGTAAAGATAAGGAGAAAACCTATTTGCATAGAGAATGCACAGAAGACCTGATCAACCCAGAAAGGTTAAACAGTATGCATAACTGTCATATGGCTAAGACTAATGTGTACTGTGACTCAGTACCAAAGGGGAAGCCTCACACCTAGAAAATGTTTTAGAGTATTCAGTCTCAGAATGACTTGCTAAAGAGCTGTATTAGTATAAGTTGAAAAATAGAAATTCCTCTCTAATCAGTTAGCTGTTCATGGAAATTTACCTTAAGAATTGCATAATTTATGAAGATATCAATACAATACCTGGAGGAGCAGTTTGTATTAATTCAAGCACTGCTGTATCAACTAGAAAAAGAAGGAAACTATAGTCAGAAGCTATTTTGATAGTCAAATGAAACTCTTTCCCACAATTTAATGGTCTGTAACCAAAACAGAAACAGCTTGCACAATTCTCATGAGCCAGTAAGTAGTAGAGATAGATAGAGGACACACAAAGGGGGGCAGGGGAGAATGAAGAAACTAGTCTAGCTTGTGACATTCAGGCTTTGCAGTACATGGTTCTACTGCTGACACATATTAGACTTTTATAGATCGTAAATTAAAGCACTTTTTCCCAGGCTGGTGCCCTCCAGTTGTGTTACGACTTTAACTTCCAGCAACCCTGACCAAGTAATGGGAATTGAAGACTGAAACAGCTAGAAGGCACTAGATTGGAATAAGCTGAATTAGGCCATTCATAACAGATTGTAGTGCAGTTGTTTGCTGCTGTTGAAGTGAGATGTTTGTGTTTGTCCTTAGCAGGCTAACAGGAGGAATGCCCTTTTCTGGTTCTTCTGGTGGCTATTTGTTCCCCTGCATTAGGCAGAGCTCTCCCCACCTGACTCTGAAACTATTTCTGGAAATGCCAGGGTGTTAGGCAAGGTAATCATAGAACTTTATGTTTGATCCAATGACAAAGATCCTTCATTTACTACAGGACTGTTCCCTGACTTCCCAGGCCAAAGGTATGAAATACTAAGAGTTAACACTCTTGATTTTTAAAAGCAGGCTCAAGTTTTCATTTTGTGATGTGTTTTGCTCACTGAGCTACTATGTACATTTAAAAAAAATAATGGTAAAAAAGGTATGTTAAAGATTTCTTTTTCCTTCTCTTCCATAAGACAGTGAGATACACCTTATTTCCATAGTTAGCTGCATATAATTCATAAATGTAGGAGATGCCAGACTATAGTCGTTGGACTCCCTGCACATTCTCTAAATATTACTTTTAAATTCTTTTGGTAAAACCTGGCCTAGTCCAATCTTATTTACATATTTATACTGCAACCCAATCAATAATTACCTGGAAGTGCACTTGCACAGAAACGCTTTGTTATTATATCCCACATTTCCTCTCACAGAACTTAAGGAAGCCTATATGGAGTCCTCTGGCTTCATCAAGCAAGCTGCTTCACGTGCCCTTAGTCGAAAACCAACTTGACAGAAAACATGGTAACTAAAAAGGGCTAAACTAAACTTCTCACCCTCAGTCCTTTACCATCATATTTCCAATCTCCTACACCTTTACACCCCATGATGGGTAGGAACATTGTGTTTCTTGTTAAGAAAACAAAACAATGCCGGCTATATATGTATATCAGGTATAAAACAAATCTGTGTAAATGTGATGTGACCACAGGCAAATGTTCACTGCATTTTAGATTTACTAAGACTCTAGTTATTTCAAAAAACAAATAAGTAAAAGCAGCATATATCCCCTACAGGAGAGGTATATAATCTGGCATGCTCCAGAGGTTCTGAAATCCAACTACCATCAGTGCCAGCCAGCTCAGCCAATGGTGGACATTGTAGGACTTTTAATACAAACAGACTAGAGAGCATCAGATTGTCTACTTGTACCCTGTGGAATGCATGTAATCCCTAACCAAGCCAATTCTGCAAGATTTCATCTAAAATCTTATCAATATGGTCTAGAAAAAGCAAATACATTCTTAACCTAGCATCCTTTTAAAGCACAACTTAGTCTAAATCACATTTATTTAATTAGTTGCAGTGACTTTGTAGTATATTGGGAACTGCTCTTTATTTTTTAAGAACATGAAGATAATAAAGTCATATCTGAGCTTCTTTCTCAATCTCCCATTGATTTTTTATATGGTCCATTTAAAAGTAATTTGTTACATATACGATAGCAATAAAAAGATTTTAAAAACGTACGTTCAAAAAGTTCAACAAGGTCTGCTGGGTCAACTACATCAGTATACGCCTAAAATGAAAACAAGATAATGAGATAGAACCATTTGATCAGAACTATGCCAAAGAAATATAAAAACATTACTGTAATATTTTGAATAAAGTGCAAACTATTCTTCATTCCTTTAAGGACAAAACAAAGAAAGGTCAAGTCAGAATCCTTTTCTCAGACTTAACCAAGTTTCTCCTTTGACTTTATCTTTTGCAGTATTATTTTCTCATCTTAATAGCAATCATAAATGACATGCAAAGTTGTAAGTACTTGTTACAAAATGACAGTCAGCATTCCTTATTTAATAAAATGCATTGATTTATTAGCTGTTAATACAAACAAAGGAGAGCACCTCAATTCATTTTGTGGGGGCTAGACTACAGCACAATCCTATACATGTTTACTCAGAAGTTAGCCCCACTGATACTGTATACAGCTGTATTCCTATACATACTTACCTGAGAGTTCTCACATTAAACTCTGTAGGATTAATGCCTGAGTAGTTAAGCACAGAAATATACAGTTAAGATTTGATTCTATGCTGTTTTCCCAGTCTGGATGATCCATAAAGACTACTGTGGGGGTTTATGCCATGAACTACCATGCTGAACCTATGCTATGACAGGAAAAATGCATGGGAACAGTAAGCCTAATTATATGAAGCAGCATGCTGAACCAGAGAATAGTCTGGATCATGTAAGATGACATTAGACTCACATATCGAGCCTACGAGCACATTTGAAACAACTACTTTGACTATAAAAAATAAATACATTCTCTAACTAGAAGATCAAGCACAGGTTCTGAGTTCCCATGCAGGTTTGCTTCCCTTTTGAAAGAATCCACCAACTGCATCTTCAAGGTTGGAAACTTGACCTCAGAGAAGTCTTACAGGGAGCATTCCAGGAGATGGGAAGGCAGGAAAATGGAAAGGGCCAGGAGACTATGCAGCTCTGTCTTCTGCAGCCTCATTGGCCCCACCTCCAAGCAAATGTCTACTAGAAATGTGGAGTGGGAGAACTGGGGAGACAATATTTTTCCACTTTACATAGGATGCCCACAACCTTCCAAGTTCAGAAGCTTATGGGCATCTCAACTGGATTGTGCCTTAAAATGCTTGGGCAGGAATGTGTGTACTGTAATCTCCATCTATTTAAGAAACCCCTGGGTCAGATTGACACAAAGCACTATTACACAGGAAATACACAGGATATCCTGCAGTAATGCCACACTGTGTGTTCTTCGGAGGAGGAGGTTATTAGAAATCCTTTCTAAGTTCATACAGTGCAATTCACCCATGTTTCTCATACACAGAACCATCCAGTTAACCGTGGGAATATTAAAAAGGAGTTATATCCCTGCAAATGTGGAGTATGTAACTAGTTCTTGAACAATTTCCTCAGAGGGCATTTTTACAGCAAAGAACATTCTGAAATATTAACGTAAGAAGAAATTACTTGAAAACAAAATATAGACTAAAACCTCGAAGCCTTACATAAGCATTCTTATATAAACATTAATTAAAATGAATGTAACTACTTAATAATATGGTTAAGACTGCTGATGATACATTGTGGCTGTAGGATTGAGAATATGATTAAATGTTGCTGAAATTATATTTTTAAAAGTTACCAATAATATTGCAAGCTTTTACCTTTTCAAATATTAGTTTCTCATCAAATACAAGAGGTAATATTGCACGGACACACGAAGTCTTCTTATATTGTCCTAAAATACAGGCACTGATGTAGAGGTCATCTCTGGCTTTCAATGTTACACCTGGGCATGTTACCTGGAAAATTAATGTTCAATTATTTCTCAAATTGGCACAGCTGTTTGAGAGAGGACCTAGATATTACACTCATTGTACAGCTGCTATCAAAACTGATATTTCTGAGTTCTTCCACCACTACACCTTTGGCTGCAGCTGGAAAAGCATGGATGGTGTCACAGTACTGGTAGTTCTAGCACCTTAAAGCAGGGACTGACAACTTCGGCAGGTTTGAGGGCCATTTTTACCTCCAAAGGCAAAAATAGGGAGGAGAACAACAGCATCTGGAGCTGCTATGCAGCCCCCAATGTTTTGTTTCTAATGTTTTGTTCCACAACAGTTCCAGATATCATTTTGTTGGGGATCAAGTATTTTTCCTGTTTTTATCCCCCACAACTCAGGGGAAGCAGAAGAGACTGTAGGAGCTACAAGTTGCCCACTTCTGCCTAGCCTAACAAATGTTTTATGGCATAAACAATACTGCCCATTTCATAAGATACCAACTTAGGAAAATAATATGTGCAGATATATATACAATGTTGGGGGTAAGCTGTAAGCAATGAGATCAAAGAGAACACAATGTAAATAGTACATACTGCAATTAAGTTGCAACTAAAATATGCAAAATAAGCAGAGACCATTCACAAAGGAACATTATGATAACCATACATCCTGGTAAGCTAATTAACACCAGTAATAGTATTAAAATGCTGCAGTTCAGGACACAAGTTGATAAGCCAATTAAAAAGACAGGCTCTAGTTTCCCATGGGAGTCTCCCTTTGAGGTTCCTTTCTGGCTACCTTAAGATCAACTTGATGAAATGTTTCCAAATGTAGCCATTACTTTTAACAAGTGTAGGTCAGTATATTTTTGCTCCAAAACTAAGCCAATTTATCCAATATAAAATGCATCCTGCCACTGATAGTTTGTATCATCTTACAAAAGATGACAAATAGATGTACAAAACCCTTCATATTTTGGGTGACATTCTTACATTTGACAATAATGTTGTCAGATGGGAGAGTGATTTGAGATGAATGCCATAGGTGATATGTCAGGCTGGCTCAGGCTTATGGTGGAGAGAAAGGTGCTGGAAGTGCTAGTAGAATTTCTCAGGTGCCTCCTGCACATGATCCTGGCGCTAAATATGTCACCAATGTATTTCAGGTAGAGCAGAGGCTTTGGGGAGAAATGGAGAAAGGACTATGATAAGTTTGCAATGAAAAAGTTGGCATAATATGGAGGCATGTGTGGAAAGGGGTGCGCTCTCACACACACTGCAGTCTGATTCTGAGGTGGCAGCAGAGGAAGACTTTGAAGTTTCAACTAGCAGATGGAATGTGAGAACCAGCCTGCTGAGAAAGGAAGATCTTTCAATGCTGCATGGGGAAAAGTTAGAAACAGAATGCCTTGACTCAGTCCAGTGGTAACAGGTGAAACCAGAGGACTGGTTATGAAGTATCTGACATTCCTGCCATCTAGCCCACACACAGTTGAAGCCATTCTTAGGATGGAACCAGCTTTGCTGAAAAGAAGGGAAGGAGGGGGAAGTTTTAGATTGGAATTAGCTTTTTACATAGGCAGATGCTTCTTCCAAATCTTAAATAGATTACAGCACAGTAGTAATCAGAGTTGCAATCAGTTGATAAAAAACTGTGCTTCTAAGCTTTGTCACTCTACAGACAGCAAGGGAAATGACCTGCTCACAATGCCATGTGAGTAGCCACAATAATGCTATTGATTTGAAAACACAAAGCTACATAACTGTGGGTTAAGTACAAAGTGGCAGAGTTTGGTGGCTAAATGTGTTGAAGAACCATGAAAATTAATGTTCCTGATCAAGCCTGTAAGTTTATCATTGGGGGGGGGGGGCTGATAGAAAGAACCACATCACATTTCATACAGAAATGTCTATGGGTAATACTTTTCTGTTAATAGTTCAATATATACTTTTTTAAAGAAGGAAATAAAAATATACACCTTCATGTATGGTGGGGAAAATTGGCCATGGGGATGCTATTTTCAGCTGCAGGCCCCTGTATCGTGGAGCATAGCCTGCATCAACTATGCATCAATATTTTAGCTTAAAAAGGGAAGAAAATCAAAGCTAAAATACCTCATTTTAAAAGGAGAGTTCTCAGCCACCTTCCATACAAACTATTATATATTAAAATATAGAAAACTATGATTAAAATAAATGTAGAACAATGCATAAGAGCAGAAAATTGTCCCCTTTGTCTACTGCATTTTCATTAGATAAGTTCTTCTGACCATCTAGAGAAGGTGCTTCAGAATGGAAGAGGGACAGACTGCAGAGGATGAGGATAATTCATATCCTGGAGTCTTCCGTCTTCTTCCCTCTCTACACACCAAAATTTCTTTCTTTCCCCTTCTTCCAGATTGCATTTGCATGTTTTTTCCCCACTCTTGTTACGAAGGGGAGTGTTCAATCTCTGATTCCCCCTTCTAAGGTCAGAGCACTGTCTCCAGCCTAAACAAGGAACCTCCAAAGAATCCCATAAACCCTCAGATGCAGAATCCTCAGAACCTCCAAAGAATCCCATAAACCCACAGGACTCCTTTTAGCCAACCACATGAAAACATACACAATAGTATAACAGCCTTGGCAAAAGTACAGAATTCTGAATAATTTATAATAGCTACAAGACAGCTAGGCCAGAATAGAAAAGCTTTGTAATTTGTCCAAAATATTTCAGACCTTTGGCCTAAAGGTTAATACATTTAGAAAAGAAACATGGAGTCTTTTTAAGTCAGCTTTAAGTAAACAGCAAAAAAAGTTTCAATCCTTGTGAGTTTAAGAAAGAGTACTATGTAAGCACAAATGCAGAAGATATTCAACATATTTTTTATTTTATTTATTTAAAACATGTTTGCCCTGTCCCTTGCACAAGCCTCAGGACGGCTTACAAAATTATCCTGATAACTTGAAAGAAAATTCATGAAAAATGGTAAATTCAGTATAAATCTGGCCCATATGACAAATATGTCATATGGAAAAATATTTCCAAGCAAATTAATATTTTAAAGTCTTCAGTGAAAGAACTATTTAATAGTGAAATCATAATACAATGCATTCCAATGAATGGAATGAATTCCAAAGCGTTTTAATTTTTTAACGTTTAAATAGAGCATACAGATTCATCTTCTAAGATAAGTAAATATTTCCTTGCACTTTTTCGTTTTTCATGAGTTTAAAGGCAAAATTTTCAAACAGAGGGATGGGAACAAATCCCCCTCTACTCTGTATTTGAAGAACTGATAGTTAATTCAGCTCGGATTTTGCCAGCCCCATTCCACTTACTGATTGGTGCAGTGTGAGCAAAAGACAAGCGTTAATTGGTCAGTTGCAACAGAGATAGAAGAGGGTTTAATCTAACGGTTACTCAAGCTTCACAGGAGGCTGAGAAAGAAAGGCAAGCCCAAGTTTCCAAACGTAGATGAGGTCGGCAGACAAGTTGCTGAAAATATTGGAAAGAAAGCCCTGAACTGGGGGAGAGTAGAATAATCACGTTTTTGACAGAACAGATTTACTAGAAGCGAATCACGGAACAGCAGTTAAAGAGTTCTGCGCAATTCTGAATGCAGCCATTAGGTCTGGCAGCCACAGATTTCCGCTTACAGTTAGTTGTGAGGAAGAGAAGGAAGCAGAGAAGGAAGCAGTCGCCGCCTGCCAGAACGGCTTGTGGATAACTTAAATGCCCGCTGGTACGATGGTGGGCAAGGAGGAGGCCGATCAGAGACGGAGAAGCCTTTCGGCAGAATCTGCAGGCCAAGGAGCAACCCCGTCCCCCGTCAAGCCTCCCCCAGACCGCATCCCCCAAAGCTTTCCTTCTTGATCCTAGTCTAAAACCGTCCCTAAGGCGGTAGAGACACCCCACAGCTGGCTTTCTCTCCGCTCCCAGGAACGCCATTTCCTGTCGCTCCCAACTCAGTCGTGCCCCTCGCAAATTTTGCTCACACTTCCCCCCGCCCGACCTCCGCGCCACCATTCTGTCCAGCTGGGAACTTTCACAGCCCCCTTCGCCTTGCCCCACGGTTCTCCTCACCGCGCGGATGTGCAGCTCCACAACACAGACGAACCCCTTGCGCGGCGGCATTAGGGGCGCCCCTCTCTCCCACCCGCCAGCTCGGGAGACGCAGGCCGGAGGGGCCGTTCGGGCCCCTCACAGGACGCGGCGTGCTGGAAGACCCCGCCCACGCCCGATGAACTCTGTTCCCATAGCGACTGGCACGCCGAATTCCTCCCCTGCCTCCAGGGAAGAAGAGGGCGTGGCTAACGGAACCCTCGCAAGGTTAGAGGGCTTATTAAAAGCTGGAAGAGTTCCGACATTCGTCACTTCCGGTTCCAATTGTTGCGCCTGCATGGTCAATGGTCGGGGCAGTGTGGTGAAAGTCAGGGAAAAAATGTATTAAAATGAGGAACAGGAAAAACGACAGACGACAGATACAAAACGTGTAAAGGTATTGGTCAAACATGTAACTAAATCAGGTTTATTTTACAGTGATGTTGGAGGTTCCCCTTCTCCAAATCAAGATATTTTAAAACATGTATCGGTTAACTAATCCTTAGCCCTTTATAATGAGTCAAATTTAAATACCGCTACAGGTTATCAAACTTAACTACTAATGCAAGGATCCTATGCAGATTCTATGCGTGAGAACCAGGCAGTGCCATTGGACTTATTCCAAGGCAAGTGTGCAAGTTGAAGGAAGGAAATCTTGCACCTTACCATTTGCCGTTGGAAAGTTAGCAGATAAAGAAAGGAAAATTTAAAGATCATTTATAGTAGCACAATAGATGCTAAATGTCCTAAAGTAATAATCAAGTGGGTCCCTAACTTGATCTGAAGGCACCATCTAAAAGGCAAGTTGAAACTAAACTGGTCAAAACTAAGATGTGAATGTGTGGAATCCTATTAGCATTACCTGGATTGCAGACCTGAATGTAAATAAATAATTCTGTAGCCCTTCATGGTGAAAATTAGCAGACCAGCAATTACAGGCAATTAGTAATCTTGCTATGTGACTAATGCAAGATGCTGAGGTAGTGAGGCTGTAAATCCAGGAAGAAATTGCTTGTTTAACGCCAACCATAGTGCTTAGAAGCTGACTGGAAGACAAAAGAGTTGTTTTAGGACTGAAGAGATATCTTCCATCAACCAGTCCCAGATAACAACCTAATGTCTGCAATTTCAACCAATTAAATGCATATCTGTATTTAGTGTTTCTAACTGATTAGTTTTGGTACAAGTGAAGCTTTCCTCAAGTTTCTAAGGTATCCCCATACACAGTAGTGGCAGCTAATGCCCACTGAGGCTGGTGGGGCAAAGGACAGATTGGGCCCCATAAGTGGAAATAAAAGATTGGGAAAAGTTGTCAGACACAGAGATCTGCAGCACACAGAGTGCATAAAGCAAGTTAACCAAAATAGGATTGCAATCTTATTCATTACAGAGGAGACAGTTGTCACACCCAGAGGCCTGTAGTATGCTGAAAGCACACAAAATGTCCATGCAATTGAAACCATAGAGCATTGCAACCATCTATTTCTAGACTGGAAAACTGTTTACACTCAGAGATCTGTAACATGTCTGCAGACCACACATGCTTTAAGCATCTATACACAAGTGAGGTCGACCAAAACATTGTTGCAAACATTTTCTTAAATAAGTGAAATAATACAAATAGATAACTAAAGAGCTGCCTTCTTCCACTCACAACCATGTAAGACCATTAAATGCAGAGCAGTGCGTTCACCCAGAAAGCTAAGCAATGCCTCATGGTATCTCACCTTGTATTCTGGGTTCAGAAACATGCTTGGTTTCCATGTATGCTTGGTTCCATGATTCTCCATCTTCCCTCCAAATGGCAGCTGGTGTCCCATCAGCCCCTGCAGCTCAGAATCAAGACAGAGGTACCAAGACCAAAACAACAGAACCTGAAGCAAGGCAGTCCAAACACTGTCCAGAGTCTGATAGTCAAGTAGGAAGCAAGATTGTACTCAAGAAACAGACCAAAGTCAGGCACCAGAAGTATGTATCAGGACAAGACAAGGGCATAGTTGTGAACAAGCTTAACCAGGAAGACGAGTAGAAAGCCAGTACCTGAGGTTCCTGAGGCAAAATAGCTCTACAGAATTCAGGAGCAGCAAAAGTGTGGCAAACAAGGTAGTGTGGTATGAGACAGCAAGGCACAGCATAATACAGCAAGGTGTGGCAGCAACCCGATCCAAGAAGGGTCAGGAGCGATACAGGAGATGGGGCACTCTGCAGCTTTCAGGAAGACTACACTGCTGGGGTGATACCATAAGGCAGGAACTGGATGCAGCAAGAGTCAGACAAGGTGCAGGAACTGAACCACAGATAGCAGGAAGAGCTGCATTGCTGTGGCCACCTCTTCTGGTGTTCATTGGGAAAGATCAAAGGGCCACCTGACAAAAGGCAACAAATCCCCTCCATTTACAAAACCCAAACAAAATTACAGACCTTTAAAAAGTTCCAAAGACCAGACACCACTGGAAAACAAACCACTAACACACAAAAGAGCTCCCAAATTGCCAAAAGGAACAACCCTGGTATCAAGAAAACACAAAAGGGGAATCCACTCTTCCACATAGTGTAGGCAATCCCAAATTAAATGATCAACTGTCTCTTGTACCCACACATCTTACAAAAGGTCTGAATCTACCCAGCCAATCCCCAAAAAAGTTGCTGCAAGCAGCACAGTGACCTGGCAGTACCTTTAATAAAGAAGTCTATCACATTCTACCTGGCTGATTACAAATTTGAAAATCATCCAAAAAGGGCCAAAAGAAAAAATCTGCCAACCAGTGCTACCCAATTCCCACAGAGACTGCCATTTCTTACTGCTTTTCCTCTGGATGAAACAAGAAACTTCCCTCCAAGACAGGCAAAGAAATATCAAAGGAATGTTGCAAAGCAAAGTTGGCAGACTAATCACCCACTAAACCTACATGGGCAGGTACCCAACAAAAACACAATTTACATCTCAAAGATATACCATTAAAGTGGCCACCAACTCTGCTGTCATAATCAATACCCCATCTGATAAAATCCTTTCTGGATTCCAAAAGTAGGGATCAAATAGGCTCACACTCCCATTAAAGACATTGCTAGAGTCATCAGTATACCCTGTACACCATGGGTCCTCAAACTGTGGCCTGGGGGCCGGATCCGGCCTGCCATGCCCATTTGGAACCACTGCACGCGCACACCGCCGCCTACCTTGCCCTGCACACGGAGGCAGTAGTTTGTTCGCTTGGAGAAAACGATCTCCAGGCAAGCAAGCTGCTACCCTGTGTGCCCGCCTCATGGTGCGTGCCCGCCCCCACCTCACCTCGCTTCTCCTGGCGCCCACGCCCCACCTTGCCATGCACCCCACCCCTGCCTCAGCACACACACCCGCATGCACCGCCCCTGCGCCAGCCCGCATGCACTGCAGGCAGCACCTTTCCGGCCCGCGACCAGCACCAGCACCTTTCAACTGGCCCCCTGGTGGAAAAGTTTGAGGACCCCTGCCATACACCATGAACTCCAATGAGAGAAGATACATACTAATGCCAAATCTCATATACCTAGAGCACCAAACAATTGTGATCCTAACTTATAAATATTACCATCCATTAAAGGAGGATTCCAGAGCCAACTTAAGAATTACAGTTTTCCTGGTGATATTACCAGCTATACTTCCCCAACAAATGTTGAACTCAGACTACAAGTGGAATTAGATTTTTTTTTAAATTAAATTTAATGAATACATATGCTGCCATGATAGTCCATATCTGGGCTTTTTGCGTGGCTCACAATATAAAAACAGCATTCTAAAATCAATACCATTAAATCAAGATATTCAATACACATCCCATAGTCCAAACATATATAATATAACAAAATTAAAATCTAATGTAAAATATTAAATAAAACAATTTAAACTAAGTTCCATTAAAACCAAACCTGGGGTCAATTTTAAAACCAGTAACCATTAGCATCCATGGTTAAAATAACTGGAGAAAAGATGGGTCTTTGCCTGGCACTGAAATGCTAGAAGCATCAGCACCAGGGGCACCTCTCTGAAGGAGGGCACAATTGCTGAGAAGGCCCTTCTTCTAACATCCCCCTCATCTCTCTAGGGGATGGCTCCCTAAGAAGGACGTCCTGGCTTGATCTTAATGGATGAGCAGGGACATATGGGAGTGGAGGATCCTTTACATACTTTGGACCCAAGCTATTTAGGACTTTATAGGTAAGTATAAGCAGTATAAATTGGGCCTGGAAATCCACTGGTAGCCAATGTAGTGGTATAAAACTGCTTTGATAAGGACTCACAGACTAGTTCTGGTCAGCAGTTGTACTGCCCTATTTTGAACCAGTTGGAGTGTCCGGATCATCTTCAAAGGCAGCCTCATGTAAAGTGAGTTACCTTGCATTCAATAACAGCATCGTCAGGCCTGAGGGTGGCTGGTATGAATGCCTGGGTCCAGTTTGCTGGGAGAGAAACTAGGACAGGTGTAAGATCTTGACCTTCTCTACTCCTAGGCAGGTGTGATAACCCCCATTGCCATATCTCCCTCTACCCATCACTACCTCAATGGGTGCACACCAAGGCCCCCCTACTCCATAAAAGACCTCCAAAAGAAAAGAAAAATCCTTCTTCAGCTACTTATCCCTTTCCTTCCAATCCTTCCTTTCTACTTCCTATCACTTCTAAACTTTTCCTTCCTATTATCCCTCCCTTCTTTCTACTTACCTTCTACAACATCGTCTCTTCCAAGACATCATCATTCTTAAGCAACTATGTTCTTTCTTATTTTTCTCGCCATCCAGTGACTTTCATCACCTCTTTTCATTTCCCTACTTCCACTATCTGGCTGCTCCTTACACCTTCCAAATCTCTCCAATTCATTTCCTCACCAAAAGAATAAATAAATAAACACTGAACAACCTTCTCAGGCGCTCCAAATTCCCAACATTCATCATACAGTCCACATGTAGGTCCCTCAAGCAGTTTTTCTCATAACAATAAATCCAAAAGGTCACATCTCAGATCACATGGCCATTCTCCACAGACACCTTATAAAATTGCAGTAGCAGTAGACACAAAAGCTCCACTAATTATTCTCAAAGCCCCATTCCGAAGAAGTGGAAGTTGAGTCAACAAAGCAGCAGAAACAGAAGCACAGACCTGACATCCACAATCTAACAAAGGCCTAACAT